AGTACGGTCATAATGCCCGAACTTGCGAGGTCCGTGCATCCAACAGAGTGTTGTGGGAAGCTTTACAAACCCCCGCAGGGCAATTGTCAGTGCAAACAATGACGGACGCAGATGGTGCAGTGCATGTAGCCCTGTGCAACGCTTGCAACCGAACGCACCGCAGAGGGATTAGGTGTCAAGCCATGCGTAGACAAGGACAGCCAGGTTATATGGAGGAGGAGTCATGCAGCGAGGATGATGGGAGTGTCGGTTTGGTTGAAGGGATTGGTGAAGTGGATGAGGAGGGACGGGATGATCGTGATGCCGTGACATATGGTGGGGCGCTGGTCGAGGTGTTTGGTAGGGATCCCGGAACTGCCGGTGATGTTGGTCTTGGAGAACGCACAACCACGAACTCAGACTTGCCCACTCAAACGGACAATTCGGGGGCGACACAGATAGACATCACCCAAGAGAGTCAGGCGGGACGAGTGTCGGATACTTCGGTGGCCGAGCGGGTGGAAGGGTTGAGGACGGCGGAGGACGTGGTTGCAGGGCGTATACGGCGGATGCAGGGATTACTCCTGCAGCGTGATGTGGCAAGACAGGCAGGAGAGGAATGTGCAACAAATGAAGGTAGGGGCAGAGGCAGGGGACGCAATGCAAGCCGAGGAGAACGGGGAAGAGGGAGAGGGAGAGGCAGAGGCAGATATGGATCTCGGTCTACCACGGAACAGCAGGGAGGAGCTGAACGGTTGGAACAAAATGGTGGGAGCGGATTGGAAGGGATGGAAAGTCAGCAGGGGTTGAGAGGGCAGCATGGGATGGGAGGACACCCGGGGTTGCGAGGGCAGCAGGGGATGGCAAGGCAGCAGGGGATGGCCTGGCAGCAGGGGAGCGGCGGACAGGCAGGGTTGGGAGGGCGGCAGCGGACGGGAGGGCAGCAGGGGTTGGGAGGGCAGCAGGGGATGGCAAGGCAGCATGGGATGACAGGGCAGCAGGGGAGCAGCGGACAGGCAGGGTTAGGAGGGCAGCAGGGGTTGGGAGGGCAGCAGAGGATGGGAGGGCAGCAGGGGTTGGGAGGGCAGCAGGGGATGGCAAGGCAGCATGGGATGACAGGGCAGCAGGGGAGCAGCGGACAAGCAGGGTTAGGAGGGCAGCAGGGGTTGGGAGGGCAGCAGAGGATGGGAGGGCAGCAGGGGTTGGGAGGGCAGCAGGGGTTGGGAGGGCAGCAGGGGATGGCAAGGAGGCATGGGATGACAGGGCAGCATGGGATGACAGGGGAGCACAGGTTGGGAAGGCAGCAGGGGTTGGGAGGGCAGCAGGGGTTGGGAGGGCAGCAGGGGATGACAGGGAGGCATGGGATGACAGGGCAGCATGGGATGACAGGGGAGCAGGGGTTGGGAAGGCAGCAAGGGTTGGGAGGGCAGCAGGGGTTGGGAGGGCAGCAGGGGTTGGGAGGGCAGCAGGGGTTGGGAGCGCAGCAGGGGTTGGGAGGGCAGCAGGGGTTGGGAGGGCAGCAGGGGTTGGGAGGGCAGCAGGGGTTGGGAGGGCAGCAGGGGATGGCAAGGAGGCATGGGATGACAGGGCAGCATGGGATGACAGGGGAGCAGGGGTTGGGAGGGCAGCAGGTGTTGGGAGGGCAGCAGGGGATGGCAAGGAGGCATGGGATGACAGGGCAGCATGGGATGACAGGGGAGCAGGGGTTGGGAAGGCAGCAGGGGTTGGGAGGGCAGCAGGGGTTGGGAGGGCAGCAGAGGTTGGGAGGGCAGCAGGGGTTGGGAGGGCAGCAGGGGATGACAGGGGAGCAGGGGTTGGGAGGGCAGCAGGGGTTGGGAGGGCAGCAGGGGTTGGGAGGGCAGCATGGGATGGGAGGGCAGCAGGATACAAGAGGCCAATTTGGGTCCCAGGATGCGTTACAAGGGCAATTTGGGTACGTCCAAGCCCTTAACCAACGATGGGGACGCGTGGGAATGCCAATGCATGGGAACGTTGTAGGTCTGGAGCAACGTTGGAGCCATGTGGGCATGCCATTGCAACGGGAGGTTGAGGGGTCGGCGTCTGGTATGCACAACAGGTCGCCGTGCCAACAGGGATACGAGAACAGTAGCAGCTCTTTGTAGTAGAACGTGTGGGCTATGCATCTTATTATTCATGGATACAGGATTGACTTCAAGAGCGCTCTAGCATGTCCTTTTCTGTTATTTCCCACATTGTCTCTGCAACGTCACAAATGGTGGGGGCTTTGGGTATCAAAATACTCCAATGTCAGTGTATGGTGCTTATATTTAACACTTAAAAAAGGTGGTATCAAATGTTTAACATCTTCTGGTTGCATCTTTCTATTGCTTGTGTTGATCGGTGTGCACAATTTTAACAGGATGCTGGGGGGCATGAATGACAATGGTTGACAACCAGTTGTGGCCTACTGGAATGTTGGTTACAATACCGTACAGGCATATGGGCATGCCACTCCAACAGTAGAGTGCGGGTTGGTGCATGGATTTGACATTAGGTGTCCTTGCTAACAGGGACAGAGAACAACACCACTTGGGACTATGGTATGCATGAATAATCAGCCACAGTTCTAAAAATTTCAGGGTTTTTTTAACCCAAATCAGCCTTTTTATGCTGACTTCTGTGGTTGTTGTGGGCCGAGGAAGTGAGTGGGGCAGGTGCGTGACGCTATATCACTTCCCTTCCATCCCTGCAGGGGTTTAGATGGTACATACGGTAAATGTGTCAAAAATTGTATGTACAGTATGTCACATGGTTGTGGACGGTGCAGTATTGCACATATGCGATTGCTGAAAGCAGAGCTGGTGTTTGATACAAATGTTTCAGAACCCGCACGACAGTACGCAGTGGTGATTGTATTAAAATAACATCCAACGCCTTCGTTCTATCATGTTTTTGATGGTCTGAGCAGCTTTGTGTCCCACGGAGAAGCCAGCCACACTTCTACTACGAAACATGCTCGCAGATTATCGCAAACGTATTGCATTTGCATATGATAGTCATGGGCAATGCGGAGGACTATCATGTACACATTAATGCTGTGAGTGGCAAATGTGTGGCCAGGGCTCTTGCTATGATTTGGGCCTGTCTGAAAACACCAAAGTAAAAAATCGTTCCGTCTGACGATCAGACGGGCATATTTTTCTGGTCTGATTTTCTATACGAATGTTGGAGCTTAGTCTGATCTTTCAGACTATTTAATTTGCATAGTCGGATTCAGCTAACACCCTTGTCTAGCATAATCACACTTGTTTTTGTTAATGAACACGCCCCTAGCGCGGCGCTGTGCAGCTAGCTAGCTGACAGGCGTGTGGCTGTTGAGGGGCATGCACGTGGCATTGAGGTGCTGCGAGGGATCAGGTTGGTTGGAGGGACGCGAGAAGAAAGGGGAGGGCTGGGTTGTTGCGAGACTTCACGAGGGGCATGGGGAGGGGACATGGGGAGGGAGGGGACCTAAGGCTAGGGGGGAAGGGGAAGAAGGTCTGGACTAGCCCAGGAAGAGGAGCGAGGGCATCGAAAGGGGGCTTAGAGAAGCGAGGGATCGGGGGGGAGGGGGGGGGGGGGAGGAGGGTGTTCGGTATCAGACGAATTGCAACCCGCTATCTGAAATTTCAGACTAAGTATTAGGCCTGCTCTGAAAAATCAGATGAGCTAAATTTCGTAATCTTACGGATCAGACGAAGTAAAAACCCTTGTCTTGAGAATCAGATGAAACCCAAAATCAAGGTCTGAAAATCAGAAAATCAGACCAATTTGGTCTGATAACGAGAGCCCTGTGTGTGGCACTCTTGTGCAAACAGTCCACTCTCACCAACATGTTGATCACGACTTTGTAAACCAAATGATGATTATATATGAATGCAATGCCAACTGCTATTCCAGGTGGTAGTGTTGGCCCACTCGTTATATCCAGCATTAACCGTCGAAAGTGACGAGGAAATATCTCAACACCACGCTTATCGTCCATGTACCTCATCGACAGGCACCGTCTCACCTACCACTAATAACCGCCAACACCAATTTACCCACCCACTAACCGTCACCTTAGGGTATGAACAAGGTAAGCTCCTCTCTTCTCTTCTCCTTCCGCCATCCCATCCCTACAACCAGCATAGTGTATGAGAGTGGGTTAGAGTGTAGGAGAGGGGATGGGGGGGGATGAGAGTGTATGAGAGGGAACGAGAGTGTGTGAGAGGGGATGAGGGGGGATGAGAGCTTATGAGAGTGAATGAGAGTGGGTGAGAGGGAATGAGAGCGTGTGAGGGTGGGTGAGAGGGAATGAGAGCGTATGAGAGTGGGTGAGAGGGAATGAGAGGGTATGAGAGTGGGTGAGAGGGAATGAGAGCGTATGAGAGTGTGTGAGAGGGAATGAGAGGGTGTGAGGGTGGGTGAGAGGGAATGAGAGCGTATGAGAGTGGATGAGAGGGGATGAAAGAGGATGAAAGGGGATGAACGTGAATGAGAGGGGATGAGAGGGAACGAGAGTGAATGAGAGGGGATGAGTGGAAATGAGAGTGTATGAGAGGGGATTAGAGTGTAGGAGAGGGGATGAGAGGGAATGAGAGTGGAAGAGATGGGATGAGAGGGGTTGAGAGTGGAAGAGAAGGGATGAGAGGGAATGTGAGTGGAAGAGAGGGTACGAGAGTGTATGAGAGGGAACGAGAGTGTGTGAGAGGGGATGAGGGGGGATGAGAGCTTATGAGAGTGAATGAGAGTGGGTGAGAGGGAATGAGAGCGTGTGAGGGTGGGTGAGAGGGAATGAGAGCGTATGGGTGAGAGGGAATGAGAGGGAATGAGAGTGGGTGAGAGGGAATGAGAGCGTATGAGTGTGTGTGAGAGGGAATGAGAGGGTGTGAGGGTGGGTGAGAGGGAATGAGAGCGTATGAGAGTGGATGAGAGGGGATGAGAGGGGATGAAAGGGGATGAACGTGAATGAGAGGGGATGAGAGGGAACGAGAGTGAATGAGAGGGGATGAGTGGAAATGAGAGTGTATGAGAGGGGATTAGAGTGTAGGAGAGGGGATGAGAGGGAATGAGAGTGGAAGAGATGGGATGAGAGGGGTTGAGAGTGGAAGAGAAGGGATGAGAGGGAATGTGAGTGGAAGAGAGGGTACGAGAGTGTATGAGAGGGAATGAGAGTGTGTGAAGGGGAACGAGAGTGGATGAGAGGGGATGAGAGTGGATGAGAGGGGATGAGAGGGGATGAGAGTGAATATGAGTGTATGATAGTAGATGAGAGTGAATGTGGGGGAATGATAGTGTGTGAGATAGGACGAGAGGAGATGAGTGGGAATGAGAGTGTGTGAGAGGGGATGAGAGGGGATGAGAGTGGATGGGAGGGGTTGAGAGCGTATGAGAGTTGATGAGAGTGGATGAGAGGGAATGAGAGAGTATGAGAGTGGGTGAGAGGGAATGAGAGCGTATGAGAGTGGGTGAGAGGGAATGAGAGCGTATGAGAGTGGGTGAGAGGGAATGGGAGCGTATGAGTGTGGGTGAGAGGGAATGAGAGCGTATGAGTGTGGGTGAGAGGGAATGAGAGCGTATGAGTGTGGGTGAGAGGGAATGAGAGAGTATGAGAGTGGGTGAGAGGGAATGAGAGCGTATGAGAGTGGGTGAGAGGGAATGAGAGCGTATGAGAGTGGGTGAGAGGGAATGAGAGCGTATGAGTGTGGGTGAGAGGGAATGAGAGCGTATGAGAGTGGGTGAGAGGGAATGAGAGAGTATGAGAGTGGGTGAGAGGGAATGAGAGCGTATGAGAGTGGGTGAGAGGGAATGAGAGCGTATGAGAGTGGGTGAGAGTGTATAAGATGGGATGATAGGGGATGAGAGGGGATGAGAGGGGATGATAGGGGATGAGCAGGGATGAGAGTGTATGAGTGTGTTGGGGAGTGTATAAGAGGGGATGAGAGTGTATATGATAGTCTATGAGTGGGTATGTGTGGGTACGAGAGTGTATGAGAGTGTATGAGAGGGAATGAGATGGGATGAGAGGGGAGGAGAGGGGATGAGAGTGAATGAGAGTGTATGATAAGGGATGATGAGAGTGTATGAGAGTATGTGGGAAGGGATGAGAGTGTATGAGTGTGTACGGGAGAGTATGACGGGATGATAGCGTATATGATAGTGTATGGGAGGGTATGAGTGTGTACAAGAGTGTATGAGAGTGTATGAGAGGGGATGAGAGTGTATGAGAGAGGATGTGAGGGGATAAGAGGGGATGGGTGTGAATGAGAGTGTATGGAAGTGTATGAGAGTGGATGAGAGCGGATTAGGGGGTATGAGTTTGTATGAGAGGGGATGAGAGTGAATAAGGGTGTATGTGAGTGTATGAGAGAGGATGAGAGGGGTTGAGAGTATATGAGAGTGGATGAGGAGGGATGAGAGTGAATAAGGGTGTATGTGAGTGTATGAGAGAGCATGAGAGGGGTTGAGAGTGTATGCGAGTGGATGAGGAGTGATGAGAGTGTGTAAGAGAGTGTATGAGAGTGTGTGAGAGTGTATGAGAGGGAATGGGAGGGGATGAGAGGGGATGAGGGGATTAGAGGGGATGAGTGTGAATGAGAGTGTATGAGAGTGTATGAGTGTGTGTGGGAGTGTATAAGAGGGGATGAGAGTGTATATGAGTGCATATGAGTGGGTACGAGAGGGTGTGAGAGTATATGAGAGGGAATGACATGGGATGAGAGAGGATGAGAGGGGATGAGAGTGAATGAGAGTGTATGATAAGGGATGATGAGAGAGTATGAGAGTATAGGAGAGTGTATGAGAGTGAATGAGAGGGGATGAGAAGGGATGAGAGGGAATGAGAGCGTATGAGAGTGGGTGAGAGGGAAGGAGAGCGTATGAGAGTGGGTGAGAGGGAATGAGAGCGTATGAGAGTGGGTGAGAGGGAATGAGAGCGTGAGAGAGTGGGTGAGAGGGAGTGAGAGCGTATGAGAGTGGGTGAGAGGGAGTGAGAGCGTATGAGAGAGGGTGAGAGGGAATGAGAGCGTATGGGAGTGGGTGAGAGGGAATGAGAGCGTATGAGAGTGGGTGAGAGGGAATGAGAGCGTATGAGAGTGGGTGAGAGGGAATGAGAGCGTATGAGAGTGGGTGGGGGGAATGAGAGCGTATGAGAGTGGGTGAGAGGGAATGAGAGGGTGTGAGAGTGGGTGAGAGGGAATGAGAGCGTAAGAGAGGGGGTGAGAGGGAATGAGAGCGTAAGAGATGGGGTGAGAGGGAATGAGAGCGTAAGAGAGTGGGTGAGAGGGAATGAGAGCGTAAGAGAGTGGGTGAGAGGGAATGAGAGCGTATGGGAGCGGCGGGTTAGCGCATCACGGTGGCGGATCGTCGCAATGCGGCCGGCAGGGTGGCCGCATTGTGCATTGCGACGGCGGCGGCCTGGTCGGCGCGATGCGCGGAGCGGCCAAAAGCAGGACGCAATGCGCATCGCGGCGGCGGCGGCCCGGTCGGCGCGATGCGCTTTGCGGCCCGAAGCTGGCCGCAATGCGCATCGCGGCGGCGGCTGCTCCTGATCGTCGCGATGCATCTCGCGACGATCGGGCCCGATGCATCGGGCGATGCGCTGTTCGGCGCGCCGGTTTGTGGGCGCATCGCGGCAGCGGTCTGATCGACTTTATTCATTCATATTAGTAGTAATTTTCGAGTAACAAGGGACTAAACGTGAATGGATGGGGAAAGGCTTTAGGGCTAAGGCACGCACCGTTGATAGGAAGTCAGGTGCTGCTAACGAACGCCTTGGATGCGTGACGGGGAAGGCAGCTGGCGAAAGGTATGATAGCTACTAGTAATAGCGTGAGGAATAGCTGATGGCGGGAAGTAAGTTGGAGAGCTGCGCTGGGGTCAAGGTTCTGTACTTGGTTGGAACCGTAGCGGGCAGGGGGGTGTACAGCACGTCGGGTCGTGGTGTGGTTACGGTGGGCTGGAGGCTCGACGGTACAAGCGTGCATCAAACCTCTCCGCACGAGTTGGCGCGAGCGGGAAATCGGCCTGGTTTCAGGAATTTCTGGCGGGGGTTTCATGTGTTACCATTCGCGTGAAACCCTAGCTGTTGATGGCGACTGATTCCGTGACCCCGCTTACCAAGCCCGTCAGGACACTCGATACAGTTACCATCCGCTTTTTTTTTTTTACCATTGACGTTATCGGGTCACATGTTGGTTACCTGTGACATATTTTCCCACGAATTTCAGGACCTTTTACAGCAAAATACAGTACCGTAAGATCCTTACGCAGCACCATGGCTCCCATCTGGACAGAGCTGTGCACTCTGGTGTCCACCGCTCTCCCGCCCACTGCAACCAATTCTCCATGGATGTTGGTCAGCAGCATTGCACAGTAAAGGGCAATAAACATTTACATGAAAGTTAAATTACTTAAAATATAGAAAGCAGGGAAGCCAAGGCGCCCTTCCTTAAAACCCGCGGGCCAAGAACTTCAACCTTATGAAGCTTGGTTGGAGACAATTGGCTAAGGATTTGGGTGCGAGTGCCAAACTCAACCAAGGTTTTGAGGCAATTTGGGCCTTCTTGGCCCTCCGGTTTTAAATACGCTACTTGAGTCAGTCAAGAAGAAGCTTGGTCGCCAACTACTAGGTGGGTACTCAGAACCCAATTGGCCCTGCACGGTTTGTTGCACGAGGCACCTCTATAGCCTTGATGGCCCGATATGAATACGGTGGCCTGTAGCCAGACCTTCCAGATTCTGTGAAGAATGCCCCACCCGCGAAGTAATCGCCCACTGACTGCCAGTCCCACCCACTCCACGTGCTCTTACTTGCTGCAATGTCGTGCTTCGTCACCTGTAGTTCCGGGTTTACAGGGCACGGAAACAAGAGGGAGGGTTGAAGTGACAGAGACCAGGAGAGCATAAGGAGGAAGGGAAAGATTGAGGAAATGGAGGGAGAGGATGAGGGGAGCAAGAGAGCAAAGGGAGCAAAAGAGTGTCCCGAGTCCAACAGAATGGCACAACCACATCTGCAGTCCCACAGGAAAAAACTTACCTCAGTTTTGCCGCCAGTGGCTACGAAATAATTTCCTTCACTCAGAAACGTTGGGTCAGCGCTCCCACCAATGGCGTAGATTCCCCAGCCGTTGGGATAGTAGTTGTTCACCACGTGGAACGTGCCAAACCTGCCACGTGGCATGCGCTCGTCCAGGTTCGGGCCGAACTTGTTCAGCATGACGGTGACGCGCATATTCCTGTCCATGGAGTTGGCATCATTGTGGCCCATCAAAATCACCTAAAAAGCCACGAGGAAGATCAAGTGAGGGAGACGGAGGGAGGAGAGTGGGGAAAGGTGAGGCAAGAGAATATGATCAGGGGGAGGACAGGTGTTGTGGTTGATTGGAAAAACAGCACAGCTGCTCGAGTTTCATGGAGCGTGTAGGAGGTGGTTTACTGCATGCCTCCCCCCTCCCCCCCCCCCCTCCCCTTTCCTCGCGCTACCCCTTTCTCCGATCCGCCAACCCCACGGTCCCTGCCAGCTACACTCACTTATTCTTCACCGAACGACTAGCGTTATTCCCGTACCTTATCCTGGTTGGTGAAGTAGGAATTCGAAACAGTGACGGCGGTACTGCCCTCGATAATGTCGATATGGGTGTCATCAGCGTAATTGAAAGAGCAGTGGTCAATCCACACGTGGTGCGACTTGTAGATGTACACTCCATATCCGTTCAAGTAGTCACGGCCATCCACGGTATTGCCAGGTCCAGTTGCAATTTTAAGGTTGCCCCTGAAGACACATGCAAATTTGAGCAATGGTGTAAGCGAATGTGATCAAAGCGAATGTACAACTGTACAACGAAGTATGCCCTCTTAGTGCAATTGTGCTATAGCTTTTCCTGGGTAACTTACTGCCGGTTCTTGCAGTTCACGAAAGAAATTCCGTGAATAATCACATTCGATGATTCTTCAACTGCAAAGCAGGGACCGTTGCCCACCACGATTTTCTTCCCCCTTGCGTCGATTGTCTTATCCTTGTAGATAATCATTTCCGCACTCAGGCCGGTGAACGTGAAATCGTCATCGAAAACGATCCACAGCGGCTCAGCCTGCGTACACAGCGAAACAAATCGACATCTTAGGGATCAGTTAGAGCCAAATGATTTGCATGTGGGGGATTGAAGCCGAAAGATACAAAGACAATAGTAGCTTGTCAATAACGGCGCTTGCGGTGCCTGCCTCGCCATCAGTGAACGAGGGAGAACCACAAAACACGAGCACGAAAAGCAATGATTATCAGGATTTCGAGTACTTGGACAGGGAAAGAAGTAATATCCTTACCCTGGTGATACCATATCGAAGGGTGCCGGGACTCGGGTTCATGCGGTTATCATCCGCTCTAGTCACATGGTAGATTTGCCCTGCCTTTCCGCCAGTTGTCCCCGACGCGTACCCCTCCACGCAATTTGCGAGCTTCTTGATGTTACTGTTCCAGTTACCACCCATCCAGCAGTCGTCAATCGGGTTACCGTATGGTAACCACTGCATGACGCCTCCCGGCAGATCGTTGTGTCCGAGCCAACCAGGTCCGGTGTTACGCTTGACTTGCGGGTTGCGCTTCTTGACCCTCTTGATTTGAGGGTTCTTTTTCGTCATGAGAATTTGCGTCTGCCCGATCTGGTCCTTCGCGAGTCGAATATACTTCGCCGACTGAGCAGGAACGCTGTTCACGCAACCCTGAAAGGCGGGATGGAGAGACGCGCAAGGCAACAACGGACGTTGGATTTTTTAGGCCGCTTCGAAAATGGGGTGACACGTTTACCAAAACTACCGGTGGGGAGGGGGGAGAGGGAGGGGGAGGCGGGAGACTGAATTGCGAGCAGGAAAAGTCGTGGCAGGAATGGGATAAATGTTACAACGCGCCGGCGACGGAAAAAGGGTGGGTACGCCGCTCGCGAAGTTCGCAAGTCCGAGAGTGGTTGAGAAAGAACGACGCTACGAAGGAAGCGAGGAGAGGGGGAGTTGGAACAAAAGAACAGCATACACTGGCCGTGGCTTTGGCATTCGTCATTTGCGCGGTAGCCTCGGCGCTCCTCCCGGCCTTGAGGTACGACTCTGCGTTTTGAAGCGCCTTACACGCGGCGGTCAGCTTCGCGCTGCACGACGTTTTTTTCGCCCAGTACTGCGCGATCAACATGTTGTGCCACGCGTTAGCGAGCATGCTTAAAACGGGATCCTCTTTGCGAGCCCTGGGTGGGTGGGAGGACGGATGGGGAGGGAAAGGTGGGAACGGACGGGGGGAAACATGGCGGGGAAACGATGAGATAAAACACCGAACACTACTAGATATATGTTATTTCTAGTCTCGAACACCGAACCACACAACGGTAACTCACTTGAGCTGACGGCGCAAAACTAGATCGAGCGCGGAAGCATTCTTCCCTTCAGCCGCAGCCGCCACCGCCGCCGCAAGCGACGGCATCTCCGTGTCAAGCAGCACACGACCGCGCAGGGCGCCGCCTGTCGCGCTCTCCCCATGTTGTCCCGCTCCATGCTGCGTTGGCAGTCTTGTAGCAGAGACACCTACGCCGTCATCGGCGGTGGATGAATGGCATTCGGCGCGTAAGTGATGGTGCGAGAGGGTGAGAGCGAGGAGCAGCAGCAGCAGCGGCTGGAGCTGCAGCCTCATAGCGAAAAGGCGAGAAGTAACGGTTTGGGAATCAGTAGATGGCGGTAGTGGCCACAGAATTCAGAAGAAGCCAGATAGCTAGAGCTTCCGCGGACAGGTTTGTGAGGCGCGTCAAAGCAGGCGGAAAAGATAGTCAAATTCCAGAAGAGTATAATCTAGAATTTCCGCGGACAGTGCCGGAAGCTGGCCTGCTGTGTTGCTGAAAGAAAGATATGCGGTGGACTCTCCTTTGCGACTCTAGACCGCTGAACTATGTGCCTGCTATACTCTTGATCTTTGCTGACTCTGTCCTTATCGCTCTGCCTTTTTAACTCTTGCTTGGTTTACGAGCAGGGATGCTGTGTGTGGACGATGGGCCTGAGGTCAGCCGTCGGGCTTATGAGTTGGCTAATCTGCGCTTCACGAGACAGCGCGGGATGAAAAAAAGAAAAACTCACGGAATCCACTCTATCGAAAACGAGGCCAGAAACTAGTCAAGTCGGTGCAACACCTTACAGTCACGCAAAGTCCACCTTAGCGGAGGGGATTGCGAGAGATTGAGGAAAGACGGGAGGGTACAGGCTAGGGGTGATGAAAACTAGAATCATGACCAGGCTGGACCACGAGAGGGGAGAGGGGAGGAGCAGTGAATGCTGCTTGTGATGACATGCAAGGACTGTGGGGGTCGAGGAGAGATGAGAGCAAGAGAGAAAGGCACTCGCCTCGAGGCGCAATGTGTGGGAGAGGAATGGCCCTCGTCTCGAAGCGCAATGTGTGCACGTCGAATTTCCTTGAGTCAATGCAGGTCCAAAAACGTGCTTGGAATTTTGTGGGTGCTAGGACAACGAGGCGCTTCGAAACGCGGCACCCCTTCGCTGAAGTAGCCGAACACGTGCTCTCAATCTACGGCTCGTATACTAGGCCATCATGGTACTTCCACGCCTGGAAAGGCATCCCCAAAGGGCGAGACGTTCGTTATGGCGGTCAGCTTTGGAGGCGCCAAGCCTGGTGCCGAAGCGAAGCCACGTCCTGCGACTGATGTCGCTGGCGACAGACAATGGGGCTCACGAAACGACTTACGTGATCGAACCAACGATACGCCGTCGCACACCTCAAATGGCTCGTCTGCGATTCGGGCGATGAGGTGGGGCGCCCAACCGACCAGTCAGAAGGGCTTTCGTAACTGTGGAAATGGCCCCATTTTTGCTGTCACAATATTCATCAAGTTGAAGTGCATCTTTAAAACATAAACTGCAGTTTTTAATCAATTTGACTTCAGTGAAAGTTCATACCACACCCTTAGGGGCACATTGCACTTTTATACTGTAACATAGATGTAAAACAGTAACTTTCTTGTCACCTGAACACAATACTGTGCTATACTACTTCACTTTATGGAGAGCACCGACTTCTTGGTTCTTGCTGAAGACATAAGACTGCTCAAAGAACCCTCTTCTGCGATGTGTGAATGATGGGGTGATGAGGGTTGGGAGGGGGGCATGAGGAACAATCCAAGAGACATTGGAATAAACTAACAAACCGCTGAGGGGCACCACGCGAGCCACTGGTGCGATATGAACAAATAGGATACGAGGAAATTATTCATACAACGATACTGTCTATCTGCCCTCATGTACACCGAAACAATATCATTGGACACTGTACAGTCTACATGAAGGACCGGACAATGAACTTTATGCAGACACTGTCTTAGTCAAAGCTGTTCAACCGCTCTCACCAGTAGTCACCCATTCTCACCCACGTTGACCCATTCTCGTTGAAGAATATGGGCATAGTTGTGAAAAGCATATATCGTCCACCTTTAACTCCATCAATGCCCCTAGACAAGGTGACTTCTGAGTCGACTCTAAACCCGCACAAAGCATATCTCGTCCACCTCTCACACCATCAACGCCCCTAAACCTCCACACCAATCGTGCCCCCACTCTTCCCTCAAGTGCCACTAGCTTCCCCTCAAGTGCCCCCCAATCTCCACTCAAGTGCCCCCACTCCCCCTTCGCCCCCCCCATTCCCCCCTCAGTTGCCCCCCAATCCCCCCTCAAGTGGCCCCAGCCTCCCCTCGAGTGACCCCAAGCCCCCCAAGTGCCCCCCAAGTACCCCTCTACCGCTTTCCACCCATGCTCACCCATTCTTGGTGGAGACAATCGGAGCGTGGTTTTATATAAGCATCTCATCCACATCGCTCATGTATCGCTTGCTGCCTCTACCCCTCTACACCAAGTGCCTCCTCAAACATCCCCCAACCGTTTTCCACCCATGCTCACCCATTCTTGCCGGAGAAAATAGGAGCATGGTTGTAGTGAGCATCTCATCCATCTCCTCATCGGACCCACACGGTGTCCCTACGCCTCTACACTAGGCACCCCTCAACCGCCTCCCACCCATCCCCACCCATGCTCACCCATTCTTGCCAGAGAATATTGGAGCATAGTTGTAAATGAGCATCTCATCCATTTCCTCATCAGACTCGGGCCGATGTGTGGAGCGACGGGCTTCACTGTAGTCACATGCATCACATGATATGGCATAGCATAGGAGCACGGTTGTAAATGAGCATCTCATCCATCTCCTCATCAGACTCGGGCCGATGTGTGGAGCGACGGGCTTCACTGTAGTCACATGCATCACATGATATGGCATAGCATAGGAGCACGGTTGTAAATGAGCATCTCATCCATCTCCTCATCAGACTCGGGCCGATGTGTGGAGCGACGGGCTTCACTGTAGTCACATGCATCACATGATATGGCATAGCATAGGAGCACGGTTGTAAATGAGCATCTCATCCATCTCCTCATCAGACTCGGGCCGATGTGTGGAGCGACGGGCTTCACTGTAGTCACATGCATCACATGATATGGCATAGCATAGGAGCACGGTTGTAAATGAGCATCTCATCCATCTCCTCATCAGACTCGGGCCGATGTGTGGAGCGCCGAGCCTCACTGTAGTCACATGCATGGCATGGCATGGCATGGCATAGCATGGCATGAAGTGGAATTTAACAGACATGTACACAACATGGTCGCTTGCTTTTAGTCACGCTGATGATGTGGCACCTGGAGAAACATACATGCATGTGATTACATATATATCAACCAGGAACGGGACTAAAAAACATACCAAACCAGAGTGGTGACTCAGCGGTAGTGGTGGGACTCAGCAGCAGAAGTGGTTACCCAATATAAGAGACTTACTTAACAAAGAAGTTAGCAGTGGCTTGGCAGACCGCCACTGCATGTGCTGAATGGGGAATGTGCGGAAGCCCCCACTCAAATGCTGTTTTCTGTTTCAAGCAAGGGGGGTGAAGAAGAGGGGGAAGGGGGGAAATCAGCGGTGGCTTGGCAAGCAGCCACTGCATGTGTTGAATGGGGAATGTGCGGAAGCCCCCACTCAAATGCTGTTTTCTGTTGAAGGGAATGGGGTGGAAGAAAGGGGGTAGAGGGCAGGGGAGAATGGGAAGAGGGAAGGATCCAGAAAGGCGGAATTTTAACCGTGGGAAATGAGTGGCACGCCCCACTCAAAATGCCGATTTCTGTTGAAGGCAGAAACAGAGGGAGCGGGTTGGTGGGGTGGAGTGGGGGGAGGAAAGGGGATGAGTGAAGGAGCCAGTGAGGGTGAACAGTGGCTGAGTGGGGAACATGCGACAGCCCCCACTCAAATCCTGTTTTCTGATGAAGGCAAGGTGGGGTTGCGGGCAGCATTTGTTGCCTTACCTCGGGATGCCAGTGCATGCCACACACAGTGTAGTTCCACCGTCCACGACATGCAGTGGCATGCAGTGGCACGCAGTGGCATGCAGTGGCATGCAGTGGCATGCAGTGGCATGCAGTGGCATGCAGTGGCATGCAGGGAACTACCATCTTCCACGAGGTGACTTTTGAGTCGACTCAAAAGTCACCTCGCGTGCCTCAACAAACTTCTATCTTTTGCTAACACCCTCCTTGTTTGAGGAGGGAGGAGGGGGAGGGGAGTGGCGGCTTGGCATGCTGTGTCCCTCTTTGCTAGGTTCATTGCCTTACCTCGGGATGCCACTGCGTGTCATAGATAGGATAGTCACGCGCCTCAACATTTCTCCAACTTTCGTTATCACTCTCCTTGTTTGGGGGCACGGTTTATTGCCTTACCTCTGGATGCCACTGCGTGCCATAGATAGGATAGTCACGCGCCTCTATCGTTGTCACGTATTCCTGTAGCACACAGGGAAAAGAAGGAAGAAGGGGAATCGAAAGGGAAGACGGAAGGGGGAGAAGCACAGGGGGAGAGGGAAGAGTCCGAAGGACTTAGATCGACGCCACTGCGTGCCATGGATAGGATAGTCACGCGGCTCTATGGTTGTCACGTACTCCTGTAGCACACAATAGAGAAATAAGCAAATAGACTGCGAATGGAAAGGTAATTTGGAGTTTGACAGAAACTGGCAGGCCAGGAAAAATGGTGGCTAGAGGAAGGGAGAGGGGGGAAGGAAGGAGGAGGAGGAGGAGGAGGAGGAGGAGGAGGAGGAGGAGGCTACTCACAGTGCCGTTTCTATCGACCGAGGTTGTTAGAATGTGGAAGAACTCCTTGAGACGCTTGTTGGAGAGGAAGCGACCCACTGTGGTGCCATCCTGTGCGTTATACAGCGGAACAGATGTGATTGAATCGGTGAAGTGGCAGTTATTAACGAGGGGAGCGACAGAGAGATGCCAGAAATGAGAGATGGGACCTTGCTGCATGAGAGATGAGATGGGACCTTGCTGCATGAGAGATGAGATGGGACCTTGCTGCATGAGAGATGAGATGGGACCTTGCTGCATGAGAGATGAGATGCGACCTTGCTGCATGAGAGATGAGATGCGACCTTGCTGCATGAGAGATGAGATGGGACCTTGATGAGATGGGACCTTGCTGGATGAGAGATGAGATGCGACCTTGCTGCATGAGAGATGAGATGCGACCTTGCTGCATGAGAGATGAGATGGGACCTTGCTGCATGAGAGATGAGATGGGACCTTGCTGCAAGGATTGGCTGGAGACTGGGATGGGGGGAGGTGGGGGGTGGGGCAAGCATAGGGAGGTGGGTCATGAGAAGAGGCAAAGCAAGGGGATGGGTCATGTGCTGTATATCTGCTTTATGTGATATACAGCACAATACATTGCATGAGAGATGGGATGGGACCTTGGTGCATGAGAGATGAGATGGGACCCATCTCATACATAGCTACTTTATGTGATACACAACACAATACAATGCATGCACATTGAACCGCGCACCATGTGGTGTGGCTTTGTACACGTCATAAGCTCACCTCGTGATTCTCCATGGTGATCTTCTCTTTCTGAATGCGATCCAGCAGGTCGGGAGTCATCCTGTTGACTCACAAGCACAACGAAAGTGGTGATGCCAAGCCTTAAGACTCAATCTTCAAAGGCGCCCAAAAAAGTGGTTCTCTCCCTGAATGTGGTCCAGCTGGTCGGAAGTAATCCTGTGGAATGAAAAGAACACTAAAAGTTATGCTGAAGAGAGTTTGAGAGATTCTGGTATGCTCGTGAAGGCTTGTCATTCTCAAAGGCAACTCCTCCAACACACCAACAGTGGAGATGACGCGCTTTGAAACTCAATTGTGTTGCAGGTTGAGTCAACAACCGTCGTCAACAACCGTCGTCAACAACTGTCGTCAACAAATGTCCTCTGCTCCTGTTGCACCAGGAAAACATGTCTTATGATCAAGATTCATCGCGGAGTAGCTCCAAACCTGAAGGATTCACTTAAGCAAAGGGATCAAGACTTGTAAAAATTGCTCCTAGAAATTCAGAGAAATCTCAATAAACCTTCGAACTCCTAGGAATCTTAATGTCCTCTGCTCTGGTTGCACCAGGAAAACATGTCTTATTCTTCCATATAAAGCCAACCCACCAGCTGAAGTAGGCTCGCCTCTTCGTCTTGTAACTGGTAAATCTGAGCGCCTCTGGGGCTATTTTTGAGTCGACTCAAAAATCGACTAAATTTTTTTGAGTCGACTAAAAAAAACTGTCCTCTTCTCGCAAGGCACTAAAAAAGCAAAGCTAACGCATCAGCTGAAAAAAGCCAACCCACCAGCTGAAGTAGGCTCGCCTCTTGGCCTCTTCACTGGTGAATTTTAGCGCTTCAGGGCTGTCCTCTGCATTGAACGCCTTGGTCTCGAGAATATCAAAATCCTGAGAGAGGGGGGCTCAGACAGAGGAGGGTTGCAGAGGAGGGGTGCAGAGGAGGGGTGCAGAGGAGGGGTGCAGAGGAGTCGGTTGAAGCCTTTGAGTGGTGAACCTGAGCGCCTCTGGGCTGTCTTCTGCATTGGACGCCTTGGTCTCCAGGATATCGAAATCCTGATGCGTGGGCGAGTGGGGAGGAGCAGGGGAGAGAGGGATTGGGAGGGCGAGGGCGAGGGAGAGTGGGAGGGTGCAGGCATTGGCTCATCACTTGGACTTCTCACTAGTGACGTGAATCTGTTTTTGAGTCCAATCTATTTTTGAGTCGACTAAAAAAACGCATTGGCTCGTCACTTGGACTATTCACTAGTGACGTGAATCTGAGTGCTTCAAGGGCGGGCAATCCTCCGCGCATTGAACAGCTTGATACCCAGAATAGGGAAATATCAGGATGCATCGGCGGGAAGGATGTGAGAGGGTTTGCAGAGGGAGAACGGTGCAGAGAATGAGACTGGTTCCCAGGTAAAGAGATACAGGGATCACTTCCGTGTGATTGCACGAAGAACACCTATGGTTCACATCACTCACCTGGCTGAAGAATATTGTGAGTGTTTCCATGCCCATGCACGTGCCCTGCACGGGGAAGTAGTCTCCTGCATCGTTGGCTGCCAGGGCCATCTGAAAGGAGAGAAGAGGGCACGGAAGGCAGGAGGGTCGGGGCACGAGGGAAGGAAAGAAGTTCCTGAGTCATCTCACACTGCTCTCAACGCACCCATGCCCATGCACGTGCCCATGCATGCACGTGCCCATGCATGCACGTGCCCATGCCCTGCACGGTGAAGAATGGAGAAGCCCCCTGCATCGCTGGCTGGCTGCTAGGGCCACCTGAGCATGGAGGATGGGATGGGACACAAACAGGCAGGGGGAGAAGGAAAGCGGGGAAAAGGTGTCTTAAGTCGTCTCACACTGACCCTCATACCCCTCTGCCTCCATGCCCATGCACGTGCCCTGCCCTGCACGGGGAAGAAGGCCCCTGCATCGCTGGCTGCCAGGGCCATCTGAAGGACATCAACGCAGGGAGAGAGCTGACTTTTGAGTCGACTCAAAATGACTTTTGAGCTGACTTTTGAGTCGACTCAAAAGTCACATCGCTGGCTGCCAGGGCCATCTGAAGGGCATCAACGCAGGGAGAGGGAGATGAAGTATTCATGTAGTCCCCTGTCCCTTGTGAGCAAGTCCCCTATGAGCAATCCTATGAGCAAGAATGCTTCACCTTGAGCAGCTTTTCCACAGCGGAGAAAAAGGGCCCAGGAACCAGATCCGTGCCCCTCCCTGGGAGTATCACTGATGCTTTAGCTGGCGATCCTATGAACAAGGGTGATTTACCTTGAGCAGCTTTTCCACAGCAGAGAAAAAGGGCCCAGGAACCAGATCCGTCCCCCCGCCCGGGAGTATCAGCCCGTTGATGGCTCTGAATTTCTGGGAGGAGGGAGGAGAGGATGGGAAAGGAAGGGAAACGGAGAATGAAGGACAGTGGAAGACAGAACAAGGTCAAAAGACAAGGGAAACCGCAGTGTACGGTAGCCCGTACACTGAAAGTCTAAAAGAAGCAAGCACAGCTTTTTCAGCATCTCTTGGTACTGCAGACATATTTCTCCAGCATGTGGTTTTTGAGAACCCGAATACTTACGAAGAGCAAGCACACACGCCTTATGAAGAGCAAGCACACACGCCTTATGAAGAGCAAGCGCACACACCTTCTCCATCAGCCAATCAGGGTCGTCATAGAGGATGGGAACTGGCCTTGCTCCCGCGCTCTCCACCCACTTGACGTACGAAGCAGCGATGTACGACACGTTAAGGTCTGCATGGGAGCAAGGGAGGGAAAGGGAGGAAAGCGACAGACAACAAGCAACAGCATTGAGTGGGAGCTCTTCACCCACTTCATTGAAATCACTTATGAGAATTCTCAAAAGTGATTTCAACAAGCAACAGCATTGAGTGGGAGTTCTTCACCCACTTCACACACGAAGCAACGACGGACGAAAAAAGCGATGCTACGACACAAGTGTTCCTACTCAAGGGCCTCTCGCTGGTTCAGCTGCTGTCCTTGTAAAATTCACGGATTCTGACTCTCCGAACCGCATACGCACCTTCCTTGGAGTTAACTCGCGGCGCTCGTCCCCCATCGCCGTCTCCTGGCTGCGACAGGATGCCGATCAACGGCTGATCGTGCACGGCCGGCGGCTTGGCGTCTACCGACCGTAGATTGCCGAATTCGGCGTGGGAGTCGGCCGACAGCGTTAGGAAGGGGTTTCGCGAAGCCGCTTGAGTGGACACGAGCAGCCATGCTGCAAAGATTCCGAACGCGAATGTCGGATTCAGCACAGAATAGATCGACGGTTTCAATTGCATATGAGAATTCAGTCTCCGTGAGGTCGCCATGTTTGGCGGAACGTGAATAAATGGCTAACGCGAACGAGCGAATTCGTGTCGTATCTTTAACTTGTAGGCAGTCGGACCTGATGCCGGGCCTTAGTCCTAAACTACTCGGCTGGAGATTAAAACTTTACCAGCCAGAAACCATAACCAAGCACCCCGAAGAAAGATGATCACACGGACCAATAGGCAGCTGAATTCATCCGTGCTTTTCGGTATACACCACAAACGGATCGGTGATGTAGGGTGCACTGAGTCGCTGTAAGGTGACAGGTGTTCCCTTTCGGTGATTCCGTGAGGTGACCGCCGCCCTGGAAGTTTCGAGTGGCGTGAATGCTTTTGCTTTCTTATCTGAGCATGTGGATAACCTGGCCAATGAGAATCGCCGTCCCTACCACATGGGTTCAGCTCGGCCCAGTTTGAGCTACATAATGCCTGCCACGTCACCATGGTTGGCAGGCTTACAGTGCTATGAAGGTTCAGCAAAGTGACATGAATAATGTGGTATTGCAGTACTACACCAAAGAAGCCATAGAAATTCTTACACGCAAGAATATGTTAGTTTCTGCAAATAAAAGCAAGGCAAAACAAACATCACAAGCCACAAATCATGCTTATTGCACGCTAATTCCGTAAGCTTGCTAGACATACTCACAATCCACAAATCATAGATCTCACATATGAACATAGAATAAAGCAGTGTATTCAACTCTTGGAACACCAAGGTTGCACAATGACCACGAATTTAGTTCGCGTGCTTGTGGCTGACCTTGGCGCATGTAGCTGCAAACGCCATAACGAATTTGTGCTGAACATCGGGCCTTGTGAGGAACTCTGCATGCTGGAACCCATCGTTGTAAATCACATTCACATTGTGGCGTGCCAGGTGGCTGCAGGGAGCAGGGCGCAGAACAGGTGGGGAGCAGGGAAAACAGGAAGCAGAGAGGAGGGAGGAGGAGGCGGGAGGCGGAAGGTGGAATGAGCGAAAAGTGCGGAAAATCAGTGCTGGAACCCGTCGTTGTAAATCACATACATAATGTGGCGAGCACAGTGGCTGCGGCAGAACAGGTGGGGAGCACGGAAAGCAGGAAGCAGATAGGAAAATCGCAGGATATAGGAACAAAAAACCCAGGGAGTGATCACTAGATCAGCAAAGGCACACAAGAGCCATCACACAATCACTCACCTCTGCACCTGTGGCGATGGCACCAGCTGGTCGTCCCCTGCTAGCATCACCAGAGAGGCAGGCGGCAGCTCATCGCCCCACACCAGGTACTCCTGCCTGCAGTGGGGTGAAGACAGGGAGAAGCACACCCACACATTCACACAAATGCACCACACACAGCGTGCTGCCTGCAGCTCCCGAAAGCAAAGCACGCAGGCAGGCAGCGCCTACCACTCTTACCAGAGCAACGCAACTCGCGTGCTTCTAGCAAACCAGAGAATCAGCACCCAAACCAACTCCTCACCATGAGAAGCCGCGGCAGATGCTTCGAGCTACCTGCAGCTCCCGCGAGCACAGCACCCAGCGCACCGCCTCGCCTATCCATGCAGCCAAGTGGTCTCCGCCGGGGAGGCTGAGAGGTTAGCAAGGGAGAGTGGGAGGGAGAATAGGAGATGAGAAGCTAATCGGGCTGAGTGGGTAACGCGGCCGCAGCACCCAGCGCACCGCCTTGCCGATCCACGCTGCCAGGTGGACTCCGCTTGGGAAGCTACTTCTGAGTCGACTTAAAAGTCACCTCGCCGATCCACGCTGCCAGGTGGTCTTCGCTTGGGAGGCTGGAAGAGTGGGAGGGAGAGGAACAAGGCAGGAGAAGGAGGAGAACAAAGAAAGATTCACATGCATCCGTTTAGAGGAGTCAAGAAAGTTCCTGACAGTGTGTGCTTTTGCTCACTCCGTGCTCGTTCTTGCTCTCTCTGTGCTTAAATGATTTACCTGCAGACAACGCGTGTGCAGCAGCACTATTCTTACTTCGTTACACCGAGGCTCGCCAGCACACAAGTGTGATGTGAGCGCAGCAGCACTAGTTAGTCCTCGTTATAGAGCGACTCACCTGTAGACAAACGTGTGCAGCACTTTCGGCAGGCAGAGCAGCAGGCAGACAGGGTCGATGATGCTCATTGCTGCTATCATTGACCGATGGCGGCGCAGGAGCTGTTGGGAGACAAGGGTTGGGAACAGGGAACCAGGTAAGAGGGAGAAGGGCATAAAGGAGGGATGACAGGCAGACGGCAGAGCAGCAGGCAGAGCAGCAGGCAGAGCAGCAGGCAGAGCAGCAGGCAGAGCAGCAGGCAGAGCAGCAGGCAGAGCAGCAGAGCAGCAGGCAGAGCAGGCAGAGCAGCAGGCAGAGCAGCAGGCAGAGCAGCAGGCAGACAGGGTCGATGATGCTCATTGCTGCTATCATAGACCGATGGCGGCGCAGGAGCTGCAGATGAGGAGGGGTGGGAGGGGCGGAGAGAATGGGTGGGACAACATCAGGCAAGCCGGCAGAGCAGCAGGCAGACAGGGTCGATGATGCTCATTGCTGCTATCATAGAGCGATGGCGGCGCAGGAGCTGAGAGTGGGGAGAGGAAAGGGGCGGAGGGAGCAAAGATGGGAACATATGAAGGAGTAAGTGGGGTGAAAGCAGCAGCAGGCAGACTGGGTCGATGATGCTCATTGCTGCTATCATAGAGCGATGGCGGCGCAGGAGCTGAGGGAAGGGGAAGGATTACGGGAAGGGAGGAACAACAGCGATGGGGGAAGGGAGCAATCGTGCTCACAGCATGCCAATGAGGTCTGGTTTCAGTCACACTCGCTACGAGCACACCACATCGTGATCACAGCATTCCGATTACACTCGCTACATAGCACTAATCGTTAGTTACAATCCCTGTAATGAATGAAGGCTCGTTACAACTGCTCGTTACAAGCACTGTTGCGCACAGTGGCAGCAATGAATGAAGGCTCTGTAGGAGAGTGACGGCTTACGATCCGCATGAGCCGAACAAAGCCTTCTCGTTTGATTCACACTCGCTACAAGCACAACTCGTTACAGGCACTGTTACACACAGTGGCAGCAATGAAGGTGCTGTACGAGTGACCGACATACGCCACGCGCTTGTACCCGTGCTTGCACAGCGTCTCGACCAATGCAGCAGACTGTGGGGATGGGGAGGCCACAGGACACACAAAGGGAGGAAGGCGTAAGGGGGTTACATGAGGTGCTGTACGAGTGACCAGCATACGCCACCTGCTTGTAGCCGTGCTTGCACAGCGTCTCGACCAAGGCAGCAGACTGAAATGGAGAGGGGAAGAAGAGGGGGCGAGGGGATAGTGGGGAAGGGACTTGAATGGAGGAGGAAGGGCAATGAACGTGCTGTAGGAGAGGCAACAAAGGAGTGGGCAGACGACTTTTGAGTCGATTCAAAAGTCAACTTGAATGGAGGAGGAAGGGCAATGAACGTACTGCAGGAGAGGCAACCAAGGAGTGGGCAGGCGAGGTGGGGAGCGGGCAGGCGACGAGGGTAGGGGTAGGGTGAACAGAATCGCACAGCACTCACCACTTCCTCACTGGTGAGTGATGCAGAGGTGAATTGACAGGCAAGGCGGGGGCGAGTAGACGCAAACGCGAGGTAAGGAGGGTAGGGGCAAGAGGGATTAACCAGGGCAGCAAGGGCACTCGCAACCTCGTAATGCTGGAACCGAGAAATAAATGTATTTTTGAGACGTCTCAAAAATACACATATTTCATTTGACCTAAGACGAGGTCAATGTCATCCGCAGGAACAGAGTGGGAATGCTTCCCTTGGGCGAAGAACTTCCTTGGTGGGAACAACTTTGTTGGTGGGAACAACTTTGTTGGTGGGAACAACCTCGTCCCTGCGGATAACTTGTAATGCATAACTTCCCATCAGGAAAGCATAACTTCTCTGTTCCCTGCGAATAACTTTGACTTCATCTTCAGTCAAATACCCGTCCACCAGAGACATCATCCTCTCGGTCCCCTTCGGCTCCTCGGAAAGAGGGACACAAGAGGGCAGGAAGATAGATATAGAGCACTCACCACTTCCTCGATGGTGGGCGACGCAGACGTGAGCTGGCAGGCGAGGTGGGGCAGCTCGACCACGATGAATGGCTGGGCAGGAAAGGGGCAGGGAGGGGTGGGGCGGGGAAGGGGAGGAAGGGTTATCGCGGAGAGATGAGAACAACGAGGGGCGATGCAGACATGAGTTGGCAGGCGAGGTGGGGCGGCTCAACCACTAGGAAGGGCTGGGAGGCGGGGAGGGGACAGGTGAGCGGTGGAGGGGAAGCAGCAAGCGGCGAGGGGCGATGCAGACATGAGTTGGCAGGCGAGGAGGGGCGGCTCGACTACTAGGAGAAAGAGAGAAGGGGGGATACTGAGCGGGTGAGTTGGCAGGCGAGGTGGGGGTGCTGGAACACGGTGAAGGGCTGGGGAAGGAGACGAGGGGAGGGGAGGCAAGAGGGGGGAGGAGAGGTAAGGTAAGGAGAACGAGGTGGTGAGCTGGCAGGCGAGGTGGAGGAGCTGGATCAACCACGATAGGTGGGTGGGGATCGAGGGGAAGGAGGAGAGGAGAGGGCGCAGGAGGTAGTGAGAATTGAGGCAGACCAGAATGAAGGTCAGGCAGGGCAGTGCGTGAGGCTGACGGTGTTTTTATTGAGAATTCTAAAAAATCACTCGATGGTCAGCCTGTGCCAGTGCCTGTTGCAGTGCTTGTGCCCATACACACACGCAGACCCCCTCACCTTGCTCCCACAGGCAGAGAGCAGCATGTTTGAAGAAGGGTTTTGAGACGTCTCAAAACCCTTCTTCAAACACGGATGGATGAAGGCAAGGTAGGGCGTGAGAACAGCACCACCAGCGCCCACACACACACCATACGCGTTAAAAGCACTCACCTTAGAGCCAAAGGCAGCGAGTAGCATGTGGATGAAGGCGAGGTAGGGCGTGAGTCCGATTCCCAGCCTGTACCAGCCCGTGCCCAGCCTGTGCCAGCCCGTGCCAGCCCGTGCCAGCCCGTGCCAGCCCGTGCCAGCCCGTGCCCAACCAGTGTCCTACTACAAGCTTCAAGCATACGCGCTCCCGAACGCGGCGAGCAGCATGTGAATGAAGGCGAGGTAGGGTAGGGCGTGAGACCGATGCCTAGCCCGTGGATGAAAGCAAGGCAGGGCTTTTGAGTCGACTCAAAAGGCAACACACCACACGCAGGTGCATCCACTCACCTTAGAGCCGAAGGCAGCTAGCAGCATGTGGATGAAGGCGAGGTAGGGTAGGGCGTGAGGCCGATGCCCCGCCCGTGCCCGTGCCCATACCCTACCACAAGCATCATACGCGCTATAAGCACTCACCTTAGAGCCAAACGCGGACAGCAGCATGTGGATGACGGCGAGGTAGGGCGTGAGGCCGATGCCCCGCCCGTGTCCAGCCGCTCAGCCCATGCCAACCCATACCCCATTACAAGCTTCATACGCGCTATAAACACTCACCTTGTTCCCAAACGCGGCGAGCAGCATGTGAATGAAGGCGAGGTAGGGCGTGAGGCCGATGCCCAGCCCGTGGATGAACACCACCGCGTCGTACCCATCTGCACCGCTCTCCGCCTCCGCCTCTGCCTTGTGCGCCTTGTTTCCCTTCTGCTCCTTCCACCCCGGTCGGTGAAAGTAATGCAGGCCTGAGGAAGAGACGTGTCTGTAGGGGGACAGAGAGAGAAACAGGAAACACATAGGCACACCCACAAGGTCAGGAACCTTTGCTGTCCAGGTCAGGAACCTTTGCTGTCGAGGTCAGGAACCTTTGCTGTCGAGGTCAGGAACCTTTGCTGTCCAGGTCAGGAACCTTTGCTGTAGGGGGCCAAACACACATGGAGGCTGGAGGAAGAGACGTGCCTGTAGGGGGACAGAGAGAGAAACAGGAAACACATAGGCACACCCACAAGGTCAGGAACCTTTGCTGTCGAGGTCAGGAACCATGGAGGGGCCAAACACACATGGAGGGGCCAAACACACATGGAGGGGCCAAACACACATGGAGGGGCCAAACACACATGGAGGGGCCAAACACACATGGAGGGGCCAAACACACATGGAGGGGCCAAACACACATGGAGGGGCCAAACACACATGGAGGGGCCAAACACACATGGAGGGGCCAAACACACATGGAGGGGCCAAACACACATGGAGGGGCCAAACACACATGGAGGGGCCAAACACACATGGAGGGGCCAAACACACATGGAGGGGCCAAACACACATGGAGGGGCCAAACACACATGGAGGGGCCAAACACACATGGAGGGGCCAAACACACATGGAGGGGCCAAACACACATGGAGGGGCCAAACACACATGGAGGGGCCAAACACACATGGAGGGGCCAAACACACATGGAGGCTGGAGGAAGAGACGTGCCTGTAGGGGGGGAAGAGAGCAACAGGAAACACGTAGGCACATGCACGGGGACCGTACGTTGGTAAGGTGCACACACACCCAAGTGTCTTGTTTCCCTTCTGCTCCTTCCACCCCGGTCGGTGATAGTAGTGGAGGCCGGATGGGGAGACATACCTGTAGAGAGGCATGGGAACACAGAGAGAGAGAGAGAGAGAGAGAGAGAGAGAGAGAGAGAGAGAGAGAGAGAGAGAGAGAGAGAGAGAGAGAGAGAGAGAGAGAGAGAGAGAGAGAGAGAGAGAGAGAAATGCGATGCTCCCCTGGGGTGCCGATGTAACTGCCTAGCACTTTCAGCCCGTCGCTGCTGAGTGGAACTCCATCGGGCAGGGAGACGTCCGCGGTTGACCCATTGGACCATGCTCCGCACTTGGCGGGGTTGTGCCTCATTGCTCCCCTGGTATGACTCATTGCTCACCTGCGGAAGCCACGTGAAAAAAGGAGTGTTTTGAGACGTCTCAAAACACTCCTTTGGGATCTCCCCTGCCTCTGTGTGTGCTGTCCTTTCCCCCGGTATGACTCATTGCTCACCTGCGGAACCCCAGCAGAGCGAGGCAGAGCCTGGTCAGCCTAGCCACCATGTGCCCCCACGCGTACACAAACAGCGGATGCACCACCGCCCTGATCGGTTCCTGTGTGTTCACCCCCTACAGCCTGATGTGTTGCTTCTATTCCCCCAGCACTACTCACCTGCGGAACCCCAACAGAGCGAGGCAGAGCCTGGTCAGCCAAGCCACCATGTGCCCCCACGCGTAGACGAACAGCGGATGCACCACCGCCCTCAGCGGCTCCTGTGTAGGAGCCCCCTATCAAGCGTCTCTTCCCCCCTATTTTCCCCGATAATGAACACTCACCTGCGGAAGCCCAGCAGGGCGAGGCAGAGCCAAGTGAGCCAGGCCACCATGTGGCCCCACGCGTACACAAACAGCGGATGCACCACCACCCTTATCGGCACCTGTGTGTGTGTGCCATAAACCCGATCCCCTCTTCCCACACACTCACACTCCTCTCACCTGCGGAACCCCAAAAGGGCCAAGCCAATCCAAGTCAGCCAAGCCACCATGTGTCCCCACGCATAGACGAACAAGGGATGCACCACCGCCCTGATCGGCTCCTGTGTGTGCGCCATAAACCCAATCCCCTCCTCGCCGTTCCGCCACATCCCCCCATTCTTAGCCTCTCCCCCCTCTCCGCAGTCCCCCTCTCCGCCCACCACAGCCTCCGCCATTTCCCCCAGCACCTCGACCGCTGCTGTTTCCCCCACCGCCGCTGCTGCTGCGACTGTTGTTGCTGCTGTCACTGCCGCTCCTGCCGCTGCTGCTGCCGCCCAGGATACCGCCCCCGATTCCGGGTCTTCTCCTGCTTCTTTGTTCTCATCTCCGCCTGCTTCTGCTCCGCCTGTTCCTGCTGCCCCTGCTGCTGCGTCTGCGCCTGCTGGTTCCGCGGATGGCTCCGCCTGCTGCTCGTCCGCGGAAGGGGAGAGGGCGGAGGCGGAAGGGCGGCGGAGCATTGGGAGGTCCCAGACCTGCGCGATCGCGTGCATGTGCGCTGAGAGTGGGGGGGAAGGGGACAAGCAGGCGCGGAGAAGGCGGGGGGTCATGGGGGGAGTGACGGGGGAAGACAGGGGGAAGAGGAGTGAGGAGAGCATTGGGAGGTCCCAGACCTGCGCGATGAAGTGCATGTGCGCTGAGAGGCGGGGAGATGGGGGGGGGGGGGGGGGGAGTGGATGGGGAAGGGGGGACGGGGGAAGATGGGCGGAAGAAGAGTGAGGAGAGCATTGCTAGGTCCCAGACCTGCGGGATCGAGTGCATGTGCGCTGAGTGAGATACGGGGGGGGGAGGGTGGGGAGCATGCGGGCGCGGAGAGGGAGGGGTCACGGGGGAAGATGGGCGGAAGAAGAGTGAGGAGAGCACTGCTAGGTCCCAGACCTGCGCGATCAAGTGCATGTGCGCTGAGAGTGGGATGGGGGGGAAGGGGGGGGGATGGAATTGGGGGATAAGGGGGGGAGGGGGAAGACGGGGGGAAGAGGTGTGGGAGAGCAATGGAAGATCAGTTTTTGAGGTGGGCGTGGGGAAGATGGAAGGGGGGTTTGGTAGGGAGAGGAGTGGGGGAAGATGGAAGGGGGGTTTGGTAGGGAGAGGAGTGGGGGAAGATGGAAGGGGGGTTTGGTAGGGAGAGGAGTGGGGGAAGATGGAAGGGGGGTTTGGTAGGGAGAGGAGTGGGGGAAGATGGAAGGGGGGGTTGGTAGGGAGAGGAGTGGGGGAAGATGGACGGGGGGTTTGGTAGGGAGAGGAGTGGGGGAAGATGGAAGGGGGGTTTGGTAGGGAGAGGAGTGGGGGAAGATGGAAGGGGGGTTTGGTAGGGAGAGGAGTGGGGGAAGATGGAAGGGGGGTTTGGTAGGGAGAGGAGTGGGGGAAGATGGAAGGGGGGTTTGGTAGGGAGAGGAGTGGGGGAGGATGGAAGAGGGGTTTGGTAGGGAGAGGAGTGGGGGAAGATGGAAGGGGGGGTTGGTAGGGAGAGGAGTGGGGGAAGATGGACGGGGGGTTTGGTAGGGAGAGGAGTGGGGGAAGATGGAAGGGGGGGTTGGTAGGGAGAGGAGTGGGGGAAGATGGAAGGGGGGTTTGTAAGGGAGAGGAGTGGGGGAAGATGGAAGGGGGGTTTGGTAGGGAGAGGAGTGGGGGAAGATGGAAGGGGGGGTTGGTAGGGAGAGGAGTGGGGGAAGATGGACGGGGGGGTTGGTAGGGAGAGGAGTGGGGGAAGAATGGGGAGGTCTCAATAACTGGTCGATTTATTCTACGTGAACAGAAGGGGGGACAGAGAGGGCTGCGGAGACACCCTTTCGAGGATTCTCGAAAACACATTCGAGAATCCTCAAAAGAATGAGATGCCTCAATCCTGTTCGGTTTAGTCTAGGCGAACACAAGGGGGGACAGAGAGGGCCGCGGAGACACCCTTTTGAGATTCTCGAAAACACATTCGAGAATACTCAAAAGAATGAGATGCCTCAATCCTGTTCGGTTTAGTCTATGCGAACACAAGGGGGGACAGATAGGGCCGCGGAGACTGGAAGGGGAGGGGAGGGGAACTGAGGCAAGCGCTGATCAAACGAGAGATAGAAACAGCCGCATTCACCCGTCTAACCCCCTCTTCCCCCCCTCTTCCCATTCTCCCCGCCCCTCCTTTCCCACCCCCTTCCCAACTCTCTCTTACCCACCCACTCACCTTCAACAGCCTCCTGGTATTCGGGCGACAGCTGCTCGAACGAGCGATAGAAGAAACCCCGTTTAGTCCTTCCCCCTCTTTTTTACTCCATCCCCTCTCCCCCACCAACGAGCGGTAGAAGAACCCGAACGAGGTGGAGAAGCCGCATCCACTCTCCCCACTCCCTCCTCCCCTCTCCCCCACCCCACCAATCCACCCACCCACCTTCAACGGCCTCCTGGTATTCGGGCGAAAGCTGCTCAAACGAGCGATAGAAGAACCCGAACGAGATGAACTGCTTAATGTGCTCGCGGGTCAGGCTCACTCACCTCCCTTCCCCACCCTCTCCCACCCTCTCCACCCTCTTCCCCTTCCTCCTCTCGCCACCCAAACTCACACACGCACACACCCCCCTCTCCCCTCCCACCTTCAACAGCCTCCTGGTATTCGGGCGACAGCTGCTCGAACGAGCGATAGAAGAACCCGAACGAGATGAACTGCTTAATGTGCTCGCGGGTGAGGCGCTCCAGCGGCGTGTTGTGGAACCACCCCTCAAAGAAGTAGCGCGCATCCACGATGCCCCTGTTGGAAGGGAAAGGGGGGAAGGGAAGGAGATGGCACGGGTGCAAGGAAGGAGATGAACTGCTTGATATGCTCGCAGAGATGAACATTTTAATGAACTGCATATGAATCGGTCGAGAGGGGTGTTGAGAAACCAGCCCTCGAAGAAATAGCGCGCATCCACGATGCCCCTGTAGGAAGAATGGAGACAAGGGTTTAGGGTGAGAGGGGAAAGGACGTGCAGGGAACGACAAGAGCTGCTTGATGTGCTCGCGGCCAGTCAGGCGCTCGAGAGGCGTGTTGTGGAACCAGCCCTTGAAGAAGTAACGCGCATCGACTATGCCCCTGGTTGAGAGAGACGAGGGAGGGAAAACGAGAGACAAGTGGGTGAAAGAAGCATGAGGCACTCGAGGCGACTTTTGAGTCGACTCAAAAGTGGGTGAGAGAAGCATGAGGCACTCGAGGTGACTTTTGAGTCGACTCAAAAGTGGGTGAGAGAAGCATGAGGCACTCGAGCGGGGTGTTTTGGAACCACCCTTCGAAGAAGTAACGAGCATCGACAATGCCCCTGGAGGGAAGAGAAGAAGTAACGAGCATCGACAATGCCCCTGGAGGGAAGAGAAGAAGTAACGAGCATCAACAATGCCCCTGGAGGGAAGAGAAGAAGTAACGAGCATCGACAATGCCCCTGGAGGGAAGAGAAGAAGTAACGAGCATCGACAATGCCCCTGGAGGGAAGAGAAGAAGTAACGAGCATCGACAATGCCCCTGGAGGGAAGAGAAGAAGTAAGAAGAAGTAACGAGCATCGACAATGCCCCTGGAGGGAAGAGAAGGGGTCGGAGGGAACGAAATTGCGGCCGAGCCATCCTCGCTAAGAACGGCCACACATTTACTAGAAGCCTGTAGGACTAGAAGCCTTTTCTCACTTGAGCTTCAGGAAGCGGCTGAGCAGGTCCGAAACGCTCTCCGAGAGGGCAGCGTGAGGATGAGTCGTCCTCGCTATAGGTGGGTCCAGTGCGGATATATCTTTGCATATTTACGCATTTTAAAAAAATGAAAGAAAACCAAATTAGCCTGCTCTTACTCGAGCTTCAGGATGCGGCTGAGCAGGTCCGAAACGCTCTCCAGGGAGGGAGATGTGAGGATGAGTCGTCCTCGCTATAGTTGGATCCAATGTCTAAGTACATAAATTTACTACAAATTAAAAAAAAAATGATGCTTACTTGAGCTTCAAGATGCGGCCGAGCAGGTTCGAGACGCTCTCCAGAGAGGGTAGCGGGAGCTCCGGGCGGTGGTCGCTGGCGCGGCGCAGCTGCTGGTAACGAATCGCCACGAAGATAACCTGAGAACGAGGGGGTAAAGTGGGGTAGAGTGCGGTTGGGTGGGATAGGCGCCGGGGCGATGGTCGCTGGCGCGGCGCAGCTGCTGGTAGCGAATCGCCACGAAGATAACCTGAGAACGAGGGGGTAAAGTGGGGTAGAGAGCGGTTGAGTGGGATAGGCGCCGGGGCGGTGGTCTCTGGCGTGGCGCAGCTGCTGGTAGCGAATCGCCACGAAGATAACCTGAGAACGAGGGGGTAAAGTGGGGTAGAGTGCGGTTGAGTGGGATAGGCGCCGGGGCGGTGGTCTCTGGCGTGGCGCAGCTGCTGGTAGCGAATCGCCACGAAGATAACCTGAGAGCGGGAGCGTACAAACGAGGGGAGCCAGGAGAGTGAAGAAACATGGGTGCGAATGGGAAAAGGAAGGAAAGAGCGCGGTGCGGCGGTGATGGTCACTGGGGTGGCGCAGCTGCTGGTAGCGGACGGCCACAATGATCCGAACGCAATGAGTGCGCACGCGGCACGCAAGGAACAGCGCGCAAGCAGGGCGCAAGAAGCAGCGCGGAAGGAGCAGCGCGCAAGGAGCACCGCGCAAGCAGGGCGCAAGGAGCAGCACGCACCTCGACGATGGCCCATATGGCAAGGCAGGAAGGGAGCAGGGCGGGGAAGAGCAGCGCGAAGAGCGCGCACGCGCACGCCGGCGCCACTAGGATGCCCACCGTCACGATGCCCCTGCACAGGCGGAGGTATAAAAGAGGAGCACTCTGAGTTGTCTAGAGAATCTCGTACTCGACCCACAACAAGAACCGCGCAAGAGCGCGCATGCGCACGCCGGCGCCACGAGAATGCCCTCCGTGACGATGCCCCTGCAAAGACGGAGATATAGAAGCAGCGAAGTCGGAAAATACTTAGAGACTCCGCGTTTGGCCCACAATGAGAGACACTGAGCAGCAACAGAGACAAATAGCGCCGACGGTCTAGACGGCATGAGACACAAAACAAAAAAACTAAAAAAAATAACTGCTATCACTCAGCAGATTAAGCCAGCACTTCGCCGCGCACTGCGCCGAGCGCAGACACATACCAGACAGCGCGGACCCGCTCCCCTTTAAGGAGCTTCTGCTCCAGCTGCTGCGTCCGGCTCGCCGTAAGCAGCGGCGTGGTTTCCGCAGCGCCCTCCTCGCACTCCACGCGCACGTCCACCGCATGCGCCGGAGCCGCCGCGTTTTCCGCTCCTCGATGGTGCTTCTTGTGGTGCTTAACTGAGTGATGCTGATGCTCCCCGTGCTTAACGGAGTGATGCTCCCCCGCATCGCGGTGACCCGTCCGCTGCTGCTGTTTCAGGGGCGGCGCGTCGTGGTGGTGGTGCTTTTTCCCGCCTTTTGTGCGGCGGCGCGTGAAAATGCCCTGATTGGCCAGCTTGTACCACGAGCGGACCTTCTCCTCCACCATGCTCTGAAGCGCCGTCTCCCATTGGCTGATCACTTGCACTTGGACAGGCGGCGCGGTGGAAATTGCGTCGGGCGTGTCGAGCACGGCCGTCGCCATGATTCCCGTTTTAGCTCGACTCAGCCGTAAACGCGAAGCCGAAATCGGGGGAAAATATACAGCCGTCGATTTAACGAACCGAAGTGCCGGAAAATCGACGGCGACGAGAAGCTGCCTCGCCGTTCCGCTAATCCCTCCCCCCAACCAAGAGTCGCTACCGAGCAACCTACCCCTCCAAATATCTTTTATGAAAAACAAGAACCTCCCAACCTTCCCAACCTAACACAGTTCCCAAGCCAACCCAACACATGCAGCAGAAACAGCAGCCTGTAAAGAAAAATGTTTGTGATGCGAGGCGGGCACACGTTGTTGTGGCAGCCGACAACAGGAATCCGCCTTGGGCTTGCATGGGCTGACTGCTGTAGCGGAGTTTTTGGTGGGGGAAGGGGGAAGGAAGTGCAGCGCAATCCTTGCAGTGATACGCGGCGAGAGTTAGGGGGAGGCGACGGCGCGGTCAGACTGAGGGGCAGGCACGGGATGTTGGGTTCTTGGTGGGGAGCAGATTGGAAGCCGAACGGACAATTTCCGCAGGGGATGCGCGGGGAAGGGCGATGGAAGAGCACGTAGAGTTTCTGGGCTGAGCGGTTCGGAAAATTGAGCTGCCCGGAGGGCCATTTCGCCTGCGGCAAACTCGAACTCGACAATGGCGAGGGAAGGGCAATGCTGGTGCTTGCGCTGTTTTACTGTAGCTGGGGGCGATGTTTCTGCTGTTGTGAGGTTCTGATTGTGCGGCTTCGATTGCTTCTGCACTATCGTCAGGTGAGACAGCTTTGCGCGGGATCTTGGGCTGCACGCAACTGAAGGGGCACCAAGCAAACCGCGGCGGCAATCCCGAAAGTCTGCCCCACGCAGGCGGCCAGCCTTCCTATGATGCGCAGTTTCACCACGTGCCAGGGTGTTCGGTGGTGATGTTCCCGATTCGACTCCATTGGACAGGGTTCCTCCCAGGGGCAATGCCGCAATGGGGGTCATCGCGGAGCGGAGGAGGAGGGGGGTGAAGGAGTGGGGGAAAGCTGGGATGTCAGAGCGTTGGTGAAATCTCCGCTCCACACAGAAACAATTGAGCTAGTGCGACCGCACGAAACGAGGTTCCCCGCGCTGCTGCCCGCTGCCCCAGCCAGAGCCCCCAGCATTAACTTTCGATTGCGCCAGCCCAATTTTACTTCAGATTACGGTGTGATATAACTGAAAACCCCCTTTCAAAGAGCAATAATGGAAGACGCGGCGGCTTGCTTCTTGACAAGTGTACATAAGTAGAAATTCCCCTTCCAAGAAAACCTACAAACGAGCCACCTGACAAACAGTGGTGGTGAAGTGAAGAAATTGCCTCCTTGCCATTTCACGCGTGCTGCTGACGTCATTACACAAATTATTGCATTTCCACGCGCTATACATCTTGATTTTGGCGGGAGAACCCGCCACACGTAAACACAATGGCTTCGTTAGAATGTCCTGTACAGCATCTTCACAAGCGGGGAAAGTCAGACTGGTACACTACAGCATTTATACAAAAACATAGACCAGCTAAGGGATGCTGTGTTAAAGAAACCAGACCTATCTCAATTATCACATACAGTCTTCAACTGGCCTGTCTCAAGACCTGTGAATGGAAGTGCACAAAAAACAAGGCAGAAAATGTTTCAAAAATGCGCTTGAACTAGCTTCCACAGGAGTGGGACCTGCGAAGAGTGTCATCCAACCACAAGAAGCATCGGATCGTTGAAGATCCAGTGTGAGAAAGATGCCGACAAACCCCTCCTCGTTTTCCATGGCCGTCTGGACCTCGCCACAAGTGCCTCCAACTCTACTCTGATCTGCATACTGCATGTAGGCCGATTTCGCGGAAAACAAAAAAAAAGGAGAAAGAACAACACAAACGAAACCCCTGGGACCTGACACCAGATCCATCAACAAGGAAAGCCACTCTTGGAGAACCGTCTTAAAAATCGTCACTTGGCAGGTAATCCTAACCTCCCACGGCTCACCTGCGTAGAGCTCTTCCGTCTGTCGTCGCAGGTTCCAGTGATACGTCTTCCACACCAGACCGCAGACGATGCCGAGCGATAGGCCCATGGCGATCTCTCTGAGCACGCTCACATTCACCTTGTGCGCCTTGAATTTCGTCGCCTGCACCTTGGGATCTGTCAGCACCTGCTTTAATCTCGCACTTGCGCTCGCGAGCTTCGACATCGCGGTAAAATATCTGGCTAGTAGAAGATTAGTTGGTTGCTGAGTTGACGATCACAACGCATCCGTGATGGAAGCTGTGTTCGACCCAAGACTTCCTCCGTTCGCGAGGACATCGGATTTGAAACGGAGATTATCGCCAGCCATTGCGCGAAGACGATGCGATCTACCCGTGTGGCTCCTGGACCTGGGTGGAATCCCAAGACCATGGAATGCGCCGAGCAGAATGCAGGACATGCAGCAGCCAAAGCTTTGTTTGAAGCACGCATTTCCATGTCCAGACTGGATGGGGGCATGCTTGCCAACTGGAGAGATTTGGGAATGTGACGAAACGAACAACGAAATGGTGAATGTCACAACCAACTGGTTGTTACTTTCTTGAATCGCGAGTTGACGAAAACTTGGTAGTTTGCTCGATAGATCACCACCGGCGAATTCATTTCCTTGCTCACGAGACGTTCGCGAAAAAGGCAGGAGTTGTGTTACTTGTTGGGGCTCGTCGGGTGCACCCAGCCTCTTCGCCCACTAATCACAGCTCAGCGATCCGAGGCGAGCGACAATGCTCCCCGCTGCTTCATCCAATCGCTTAAAACCGCACTAAACCGTTTTCAAAGAGTGGCGCTGGGCACAACTGAAATGTGTCTCCCCTGCCATGTCCGCCCTGCGTCTTTCACATTTCCAGCCCGCATCCTGCGCCGGATCCCGCGCCGCATCTCTCGCCGCAACCCAAAGGTATGAAATGGCCAACGGCAACCCAAAGCTACTAGTCGCTGCCTTGCGTAATTGCCACGCAGGGCTCCGTCGCACCTTTCAACCGTCCTCGATACCAGCAGCTCCGCTACCATCCTTACTGCAACTCCGCTGCCTGTCATCTCTCCCCGCACTCGACATCGCGAAACCCGCCGCCGATTCGGAGGGGGTGGGGGTGGAGGCTGAGCAGGGGAGGCGGTCGGAAATGCGCAGGGTAAGTCCCCGCAGGGTGCAGGGGGAGGCGACTACGCGGTCAGATTGGAGGCGGAGCGAAACAGTTTCCGCAGGGGAAAGCGTGGGGAAGGGCGATGGGGGTGCGTGCATCGCAACTCTGCAGGTGTTCGCTGGGAAACAGCCGGCGGTAAGCTTGGCGATATCGCATCCCTGCAGTTTGCTTGCGGTGTTTTTTTCTAATTGCCCTCTGTTTCCGAGCTGCCTGCGATCTCCCGCAGTTACCCTAATTTCGATTCGTGCAGTCACGGAGCAGTTAGCGGGCAATTGGTGCAAAACTCATCCCGTTGGGTCGATGAACACCGCTCGGTGAAATTCGGTGCGGTGGTGTATAGAACTCCGCGCTGAACTAATATTGTAAAAAAAAAATGGTGAAGACTGAATATGAACACGTCAATGTATACGAATCGCTTGTAATTTTGCATAATCACATTGTTTCATTCCCATGAAGAAATGGAGACGCGTACGCCTACGGTTACCATAATTTTTACCGTTGGCGAATGACCGTAGCGGTAACCAGGTAAATGAGCCCTTCGGACGGCTCACTTTCAGCGCGCGAAAAATCCAGCTGGACTAGAATGATGACGGAGTCGCACACCTTGTTACGTGCGAAAACGGCATGTAAATTTTTGCTTTGTCGCCGTGGCAGTTAGGGGCGAAGGGTGTGGAACGCGGTTGAGAACGTTTTTGCGCAATTTTTATCGGTCCCTGCATCATGCGGCCGTTCCCCTCCAACCCCTCCATTTCCCTCCTCACTCGAAGTGCACATTATTATCGTAGAGGTGGTAATAAAGTAGCCCGCCATGGCGCCTCCCTGGAACCCGCTAACTCGCTGGAACCGCCCGTTTTACCCGAGTTTGGCGGTTTTATTTTTTAGGAAACGACGCCTCGCCATCCGTTCTTTGCCTCGTACCGCATGCCAGACGGGTGCTCGTCCACCTTAGGGTAGATCGTAGGGCGCGGGCCGAGCTCAATTTTTTAGATGTACTAGTTTTAGGGACGCCATAGCCCGAAACGCGTTTTCGACGACACACCAGTGCATGCGCGGCGTGCCGACAAGGCGTATACTTTCACACTTGCGTCCCGCTGTTGCAGATCCACGGGCCGCGAGGGTTTCGCCGTTTTGGTTTCTCTACATTAGTTTTAGGGTCGGCCCGGCAGAAATAGCGACTTCGTCGCCGTACCATCGGATGCGCCGCGTGCCGACGCGTGGTATATTGCGCGAAAGTGCCGCGACTTGAGGGATTAGTGGGGTCAGTACCGTTTTTAGTGTTTTTTGGCATTTTTTTTGCCATGTTCGTTTTAGAGCCACAGATTTGGCCCCTCTTGCCACTGAGGGCCATGAACGTTTGTGCTCTGTGGTCTTTGCATGCAGGTCCAGGGGATGCTGTTGAAGACATTGCATATATGTTAGACCTTGCTTGTTATTCTTCACTATTTTAGTTCTTCTCCAAGCTTGCACAGATCCTTGTATCCCTATAATTGATAATGGAGTTTACATGTGCCTGTGGATTCACCTGCACAACTAGACAGGGCTTGATTAATCACAAACTGTTTTGTAGAAAGCGCCCAGCTGCGTCAGAGAGTGCAAATGTACGGATTCTAGAGGGTTTGAAGCGCAAACGAGCTAATGACGTGAACCGGCTGCTGCGTGCACGAGTTGCTCCGCGTGCCGCAGCAAGTCCGCCTTTGACCACTAGCGGAGCACCATCTGCACAAACCAGTGTGAACCCTCCCCCGTTTGACTTTCCGACGTCGGATGACAGCGACGGCGACGGTGATGACATAGAATTCTCAACAACGGATGCAACGGTAGATCTTAGTCCACAGAA